GACTGCCTGCATTCAGCCACCCAGTTCTGGGAGGGTAAGCTAATTCAACAGTACGAATGCAGGCTGTTTCATTCACATCAGCTTGCCTCAGTGTCAGCAAATGTTCCCGAGCATGCTCAATTTGCTGATACAGATGTAGCCATAGGTTCTCTTCATGAACACAGTGCTGATTCAGTTGACTTACCAAGTGTATTAAAATCTAGATAGAGCTTGATTCACTGTAAGCAAAATAAACACTTGGAAATGCAGTAGAGGTGAAACCAGCAGGAGCCTGGGAAAAAGTGCAGCTGCAGGAGGATCTACTTTGAGTATGAACTGTATTAAAAATATACAGGCTATTGACATAAGGCCATCTAAGGAAACAAAATTAGAATGGGTTAAGATGGCAAAATAAAACAATTACGTTGGTAAGCCCTAGAATGAATAAAGTCTGACTTGCTACAATTTATGTTTCTTGATTGGTTCACATTGCACAATGGAAAATTATGATATAGCTGCCATCATGGAAATGTGGTAGGATGATTCGCACAACTGAAGTGCTTCAATGAATGCCTATAAAATCTTCAGAAGGGAGGAGACGTGAGGAAGGAGAGATTGTCAGGGAGCTCTGTATGTTATGGAGTGCTCTAATTGTTTAGAGTTTAATGATGGTGATGATAAGAGGGTTGAGTTTTTATGGGTAAGAATCAGGAGGAAGATCAACAAGGCAGATATCATGGTTGGAGTCTGTTATAGACTACCCAATCTGGATGAAGAAGCAGACAAAATATTCTATAAGCAGCTGGAGAAGTCTCACAATCACTGGCCCTTGTTCTCATGGGGGATTTCAACTTACCAGATGTCTGCTGGAAATACAATACATCAGAGAGGAAACAGTCTAGGAGGTTCCTGGAGTGAGTGGAAGGTAACTTCTTGACACAGCTGGTGAGAGACAGCTAGGGAAGGTGCCCTGCTTGTCCTGCTGTTTGTGAACAGAGAAGGACTTGTGGGTGATGTGATAGTTTGAGGCTGTCTTGGGAACAGCAGTGACAAAATGTTAGGTTTTGATTCTCAGAGAAGTAAGGAGAGGTGGGCAGCAGAACCTTGGACTTCTGGAAAGGAGACTATTTGGTTTAAGGGTCTGGTTGACAAAGGGCAAAGGAGTTCAGGACATTCTTCCAAAAGGAAATCTTGAAGGTGCAGGTGCAGGCTGTCCCCATGTGCTGAAAGACAACTTGATGGTGAAGAAGTCTGGCCTGGCTGAACAGAGAACTTTGGCTGGAACTCAGGAAAAAAAAGGGGAGTTTATGACTTTTGGAAGAAGGGCAAGCAGCTCAGGAGGACTACAAGGGTGTCATGAGGTTGTGCAGGAAGAAAATTGGAAGGGCCAAAGCCTAACTAGAATGTAATCTGGCTACTGCTGTAATAGGCAACGAAAAATGCTTTAATCAATACATTAGCAACACAAGGAGGGTTAAGGAGAATCCCCATCCATTATTGGATGGAGGGGACAATGTAATTACAAAAGATAAGGAAAAGGCTGAGGTACTTAATGCCTTCTTCTCTTCAGTCTTTAACAGTCAAACCAGTTTGTTCTTCAGGTACCCAGTAGATCCATGGTGCATTAGGACACCACTCATGCACTTAGCACGGAAACAAGACAGCATGGAAACTCAAGTGCAGAATATGTCAAAACCAATACATGACAATTTACTCAACAACATTCATTAATAGTTGTTTTTTTTCCAGTTAAGAAAATTAACTAATTTCAACTCACTATTTCCTTATTTTTTAATTCATTAACTCCTAAAAGAAGCATCCATACTGTTCAGAACAACCCTCTGAATATACTGCTGATCACCTGGAAATATTTTTTTCAGCAACACCAGAAAAATAAAAAGAAATGGAAGAATAATAAAAAATGGATTAAAGTGAACAGAAATAATTTATCAGCTGCAGACATACAGGAACGGAAAAAGGTGACTACAAAGGATTCCTAAAAAAATTCAAGGATAAAATATATCTGTGTATGTTTGTCATTGTTGCCGGCAAGTTGCCGGCTGCCTTGAGGTGGGGGGACCTCTCTTGCCCAGGTCTGCTCACCAGTGAGTCAGCCTGGTGTCACACGGAAGGCAGAGAGATGAAAATGGTGATAGCAGCAGGAAAAGAGAAGAAGGAGGGAAGTCTCACCAAGAGAAAAATAAGAAAGATTAACTGGAAGGAAGAAGGAAGCCAAGGGGAAACAGATTGAGAGTTGCAGGAGTTCAGTGCCAGCAGATGTTCGAAATCGGATGGGCTGAGGGAGCTCCATAGGGAAATGAGGTTTGGAAGGGAAATGCATAGGAGAACGGCAGGAACCCAGAGGGAATTGCTGCCAGGTTAGGAAAGGCAGCAGGTTGTGCTGACAGGCTCCTCTTAAGCTGCTTTTCTCCCTTTCTGTCAGTCTGATTTGTTTATTTTGCTCCTCAAATTTTCAAGTTATTCTGGTGTGAGGTTTAAAACAGAGAAAAAGGATAAGCTTGTAGCAGACCCATGTGCTTGACCCTCAGCTCAGGATTTACACAGCTAAAAGTTGTTGCACTTATGCATCTATCACTTCACAGATATTTCATTATTTGTGAATAGATATCCTCTAAATAATCTGGAAAACACCAGTGAACCCGTAACCCTGGCAAAACATCAGCTAAAGAAACAAACCAGACAGACCCTTCAGGAATCCCTGAGAGTGTAAGGCAGTGTAAATGGCAGCTGCATACCAGCCTGCAGCCACTCTATACAACAGTAAGACCAAAAGGAAAGGAATTTGTTTCCGAAACCTCAAGACTGGTGCAATGTATATTTACGGAGGGGAAATGTATCTCCTTGCCTTTGTTTCACTGACAAACAAGCAGACTACAAGGTAGATGTTCATTCTCACGCGTTGGATGTCAGTTATCATTAGAGGGACTGGGAACCTCCTCTACTTAGAGGTTTTCCTTCTATCAAACTCCATCTGGTTTTACATGACAATAAGTTGACTAGCCGATTTCTTATGCTTGAATCAGGCAGATCTAAGTGAAGAGAGCTGTGGAATCCAAAGAGCTTGGAAGAACAAACCAGGTAGCAATATTTATTTTTTTATTGTTTTCAAATGCAAATTTATAACCTTTATTATAAGCTAAAATTCACCATCTGGAAGTATTTATCCCTCTATCTATAAGACATTCATTTCATAGCTCAGTTGTTACAAGAATATTATGGCAACTTCAAACTTCACCTTTAAACACTTCAGGTTAAGAGAGACAGAAATACGTGTTTTTTCTTTCTTTCTTCTGAGCTCATCTTTATTCTTGGGCCTCAAAATGGAATAAATTCTAGGTACTTGGTACAGTTTGGATCTCACAATCATGTCATTTTATGAGACTGGTTGTTAAGTACATTTTACAATTTTAGGAAGCTGAGACAAGAGAGGTCATTTAAAATGACATGACAACTAGTGGGAAAAAATAAAACAAAATTGTTGCTTTAATTTAAAAAAGAAAAAAAAAACATTTAGTGTGATAGTGATCCCATTTTAATAAGATGGGTAATGTGGATTTTGTTTCCCTGCTGTGACGAATCTGTGGGCAGATACGCTTGTCCCAGACAATGTGGATTATACTCAGATTCTTCCTGAAGATCAAAAACAGTGAGAAAGGTCTAGGATCAAAACAAGTTATGCTATTCAGACCCCCCAAATTTCCACATTCTTAAAAGCAAGGGTGAAGTTAACAATGCTCTTGAGTTCTTTTAATTTGCAGGGTAGATATAACCCAGGCAGATATTAATTCTCACAACCCTACAGGGAAATCATGATCACCTACATCTTTCATGAGGAGTTTCTCTAATGAATTAGTCACAAACATATTTTTATTCCTCATCAGTCCCTATCTCTTGTACCCATTACATGAATCTCAGATTCTATCCCTTTTGTGTTTTTAAATGAGTGTTCAGATGGTTATTCACGTTCTGGAAGCGATACCAGTAACAAATGATCCAACTTCACTGTGTCCCAATTGAAATCCAAACTCCGTTGAATTTTGTTGAGTCTAAAGATAAGGTATCTTTTTTGTGGTTTTCATTCTGGAACAAAACTAAAACCAAGGGTGCTGTTCTATCAAAATAAAAATACTGGTCAAGAATAAGGTTATTCTTGGGGATAAGATAATGAAGAGGTCTGACTTTTTCATAAATTCTTTAAACACCTTGAAAAAGGCAACAGAGTGTCCAAGTCTTGGTCTTCCATTGCTAAAGAAAGGTGTTACTTTATTTCTCCGATTCTTAACCTTTCTTGCCTATTTTGAATATAAATCATCAAGAAGTGGGAACTGCCTCATGGAATCAAATACATCAAATGCAATACCTCCCCTCTGGCAGTGACTAAGAGCGGATCTTCTAAAACAGTAAAAGATACTCCAGGGAAAGAAACAGTAGCATAATCTACCCTTATGAAATATTCACTCTTAATCCCTAGAAATTAGAGATTGAACTAAACCATGAAGCATGAAGTTTTCTATCCGGAAAAATTTATTTTAGGTATTATAAGCCACTCTGGTTATTTGTACCCATACCAAATCCTCTTCTAAATGCTGCTAAATAATGTGGGAATGCATTCTTCTGGATTATTCTTAATGTCTGTTTGAATTATGTCTATTCTATGCTGTGTATATATAACTGTGGCTAGGACTTTCGGTTATTGACATAAAGATAAATGGTGGTAGGGAAGCAAATGGTCAAGTGATGGAGAAAAGAGAGTTCCTGCATATACTTTCAAACTTCCTTTCCTTCGTGTGCTGGCAAGTATTTAGCCATGAAAGAAAATGTTGAGTTGTGCATTTTGTGGTGGACTTTTTTACTAAACTATATCAAATAAATGAGTCGGCTCTTTTGTATCCTCTTTCTAATTTGAGATGACTCCGAGGCAGCTTTGCTTTCAGAAAATCAGGAACTTTGGGGATTCTTTTCCTCTAGCTTTGATTTTTTTTTTTGTTTGCTTATAAAACAGGCTGGGTGAAGCATACCACACCACTATCTCCTTGTGTGACCTTTTTCTGTTTTCATCTGGTCTGAGCAAGCACCTAGGGTAGGTGCCAGGACCCCTAATTACTCACCCTGCATTTGGGATTGTGACTTGGGTATCTTTCTGGGTACAAACCCCAGGTGAGAAGAGCAGGTCTAACCTTTTTTCTCCCTCAGTAAGCAGATCGAAGCCTTGTTCCCTTTCAAGAATTGAGCCCCTTCAACCAGCTTCTTAAGTGCCTAAATTCTGCTGGGTTTTTTTGCCTCCTGCCCACTGAAGGATCCAGAAGCAGGTTCACCTGCTAGTGAATACAACTTGCATCAGGGCTGTAACCCCATGCACAACACAGGGAGAGGGGCTGTGCTCCCTGCTGCCACACACTGAGATGAGGAAAAGAAATTTCAATCTACAGCATAAGGCTTAGAAAATGAATTGCTCTGCACCATGCCAGATAATTTAAAGGGTATTAAATGAAATCCTTTTAACAGGAAATGCTTGCATCCAAGAAAAGGGCAGCAAAGTAAAGCTGCTGGACTGAGGAAATTTCCAGCCTGCTTACTAGTACCACAGGTCAAAGATAAACTTAAAGGGATTCGCCACTGAGAGAAGGGGGATGATTTCTTACACCCTTCTGCTATTGAGCATTCATTCAGGTCTGTTTCTCACTACACTATCTGGAAAAGGACTGTCTGAAAGGGCAGTGGCAGCCTGAATGTCAGCACCACTCAGTCAGCTTCAGGTGTTCCCCCCACTCCCCCTGGCCATGAGTCCCACTGCAGACTGGGAAATGGGTCTTGCTCTGCTCATCATTGAAGGGGGTGCCACTATCAAGGGAGACATGATTTAAAAAACAAGTCTGTCAGAGCACATTGCTTCAAGCCAAAGGCTGCAAAGAATGGAGAGGAGGGGGAATTGCCCTGGGAAGGATAGCTGGTGGAATTACATGGTTATATTGGATTAATCTGCTTTGTGAAATGAGAGGATGTTTTGAAATATTAAAAAAGACAGGGGAAAAGAGAGGAGAAGTAATGATATATTACCGAATTACAGAATTTGCAGATCAAGAGCAGGATACTCAGGAGTATGTCCAATTGGGTCTTTACCTAGCCTGACAACAGTGCAATCTCTGCTATGGTATCTGAGGAGACTTTAAACTGGCCGTGCTGGGGTGTTGAGTGAATAACCTGGCTCTTAATCTTCTGGGTGTTGGTTGACTCATCCATGCTTACATGGACCTCAGTAACTGCTGTGTAGAAACATCCTGAAGGACCTTCAGTCTGTTTTAGATAGGCCAGGGCTATTGTAGGGCTTTGTAAGGTTACAGGCAAAGTAGACGCAAAAATTAAAAACCATTCCAGAATGACATTTCAAAAATGGCCTTTTAGATTTGGCATGGTGTATTGCAGAATATGACAATTCTTACGGATTCTTCAAAATGCTACACATAATCACTATTATAAAAACTGATTTTTGTTTTACCTCTATAAATGTTATAATCCACAGTCTAGATGTGTGAAGGAAGAGCAGTATTGAAAATAAGCTATTGAAATATTTTACATTTCCTTAATGTCAGTTTTAATGAAACTGACATCCTTCTGTAACATGTGAAGATTTGAATAGAGATGCTTCTGTTTAAAAGTGGTCAGCAAACTGTAGCTCTATTTTAGTTCTAAGTGACAAAAATCTCCCTCAAAGGACAGGGTTACCTTTCTATTAAAATCTTAAAATCCCACCTTATGTTATTTGGTCAGATTAAATTAACTCATATTTCATTTGGAATTCTTCCTGAATGAAAGGTGCAAGATCTAAGTACAGCTTTGATTTTTGAAAAGAGTTATCAAAAACATAAATACAGATAGGTGCAGCAGGTCTCCCTCCCATCAGAAAAAGAAATAGTTTAGTGAATATCTTTGCCATGCGAATTAAAAGAAAGATATATGTAAAACTGCTTTTGGTATACAAACTCTATAAATTCAAAAGGAAATTCTTAAAGATCTGAGCAGCCTTCACACTTACTGACTTCAGTAAAAATCGAAAATACCCAGGGAAAACACCATCATGCATTCAAATACACTGTTTTAAAACTCTTTCAGATTATATTCTGAGCACAGCTCAGGACATTTTATGTGAGTTGTGGACCTGGGACTGTGCTACTAGTATGCTACTCCCAGGGGCTGGCTAGTAGAGCTAAACCACATCATGCAAAGAGACCCTGGGTTATCTCCAGTGTTCATTTTTCAGGGGAAAAGAGCTATAAAGCCTCTATCCTGACATCTTTCCAATCTTTTTTTTTTTGCAGCTATTCTTGGAGTATCACATTCATAGTTGTAGAATTCAGCAATATTAGACTAATGCCTGTGTAAAGGGTACAAGACACCACATCTTTTAACTTACTTTATTGCAAGCTCTCTGTGCAGTTTACATGCAACACAAGAGGTTAAAGATTCTTAGAGAAAATATCTTTGTCATCTAGCTTCTTTGCTAAGAGATAAGGTTACTAAGACAAATATGACAACACCAGCCACACAACATTAAGGATATGATTCTCAATAGCCTTAGCAAATTTAAGCAAATCCTTTTCAGCAGTCTGACACCATAAATGAAGTGTTTGAGATGGTATCTCCAGCATTTGAAAGAACAGCCCTGACACATACTTTGTTAGGGAAGATGACATTTCTGTTAAAGTTCAGCAAGTCACAGAATCCTCTTAACATATGGCCAAATATTACAATATTCTCTTCTGAAAAAGGTGAGTGTGTTTGCAGATCTCATAAGTTTCAAAGTCAGAACCAAAACTTATTGCACCTGCTTCACTTTGCATTTTCAGCAAAGTAAACAAAGATGAGGAGAAGAATAATGATAATAATAAATCCCACACATGCTTTGAAGACATAGAGAAGACAAGAAAGCAATGTAAATTTTGCTATTACACAGATATTCTAGTACTGAAATTGCTGAGGTAGAAGTTGAAGAATATTTTGTATGATATTATCACTTTTCTGGTTTGATCACAAGCAAGCCTCAAACCTAGACATGGGATTTTAGCCATAGTGTGAGATTCAGCAGCCAATTTTGTCCATAGCTTAGATTACCTCTGAGTGTCTTGAGGTTTGGAAGCCCAAATAAATGTCTGAAAATTTAGAACATATGGAGTAGAAACTAGGCTACAGATCATGCCACAATAGAGCCTCCTGAAAGGTTGCAGTATTACTGGTTTGTGGCTGGATTGGAATTGATCCTCAGATCCTCAGATTGATCCTCACAGGACTAGATTAAACCAGAATGTAGAAGAATGAAAACTTTTTTATGTAAACATGTAAAATGATTTAGATTTTCTTTAGTTCAAGGTCTGGGTACAGGATCTGGTCAGTTCTTATTTATTGAAAGCAATTTACTTAGTGCTATTTTTTATTTTGTTCTTCATCTATCTAACAACATAAAAAAAATTTCTGTAGGAAATAAAAAGAAGCATGAAAGTGTACCATAAACAGTACGTATTTACGTAGGGTTTGAAAATGACATAGCTTGAAGAGGAAGATGCTCCATTTATACTATCCACTAGCAGTTCATGCAAACTGGTTGCATATCTGCACATCCTAAACCATGAGGATAAGGACTGATCTTCACAATTGTTTAAAAAGGTTTACAACCACTTTCACTGAAATAAATGTACTGGAAAAAACAGAATCGGGAAATGGTGCAAAGGCTATAACATTTGCATAAAGAAACCATTATGAAGGTGTGCCAACAAAACAACTGTTTGATGTTGCATTACAAATATATCTTCCCCTCTACCCCCCCCCTTTTTTTTTTCTTGTTTTAAGATTCATTTTTTCCAGATCTTTTGCATTTAAAGAACAAAATACAGGAAATATTTACTGAGATGCAAAGTGGAAAATTTCAAAGAAATACTAGAAAACTAAACAAGATTAGATGTGAGTTTAAGATATGGCTGGCTTCTTTATTGGGATTTAAATTTGTTCTTTGCCATCTCGGCTGTACTACCGGAACTGCTTCTCGCAAAGTCTTCATTTCAGGTACCAGAGGTAACCTGGAAATACAGAACAACATAAATGTTAGAAAAAAGCACCCAGAAATTAAAAATTTCTGATGTCTTCGGATTAATAGAAAAGGGTTGGCATCTTTTATGGTGACATTAAGCCAAAGTGTCTATCAGGACACAACATTTCAAGGACTGCCCTCATAATCCAGTAATGGAGCCGAAAGCTCCATTGCACAAATGCTTGACAAATACTTGTTATTTTCTGGAGAACTCAAAGCTGTGTCTCATCCTGAGCCCTTGGAATATTCCAGCAAAGTTTTTCAAGTGGATGCTGTCAGCACTAACCAAGAAGGCACCTGGCATTTTTGTCTCTGTTCTATTTCTCAGTACTGCTCTCAGTGAGGTTTGGAAGCCCAAATAAATGTCTGAAAATTTAGAACATATGGAGTAAAAACTAGGCTAGAGATCATGCCCATTGGAAAGTCTGAGGCTGGATCCTGGACAAGGCAGAAAGGTGAGCCAGAAAGGTGAAGAGCCTTCAGCCTTCAGCCAGGGCGGGTGCACTCACCCACAGACCATCCTTCAACAAGAAGGTAAAGTTTCAGCATTCAAGGGAAAAAAAATGCTGCCTGTAACTTACTTGGAGTAACAACTAACTGTCTGCAAACATGTGAAACAGAATGATAACATCTTTTGATCAGCACACCACAAAGCATAAAATACCTTGTACTCTCTGTAATTTATTACCTTTGGATTTTTTTTGGAAACAAGCATTATGTGAAAGATCCTAGACTGGCAGCTCTTCAAAGAGAGCTCTCAGCACTGTAGTCATAGCTCACCCCCTCATTTCCCCTCCCAGGCCCTGATGCCAGTCATCCCAGTGTCCTTCTGATACAACTCCTCACAGGGAAGGGGCAAGAAGGGAAATTAACACAGCCTCAGCACAAGCTCTGATGATGTTTCTGGTGAGTCTGTGACTTGTTCCTTGGGTAACCAAAGAATGTAATCCAAAACACATGGGCTTACCATTTTAAAGTTCTTCACAGCACATGACACCTCTGAGGGTTTTTAAACAAAATTTTAACTGCCCCTGACTCTTCAAATTGTTTTTATAAGTTCAGGTATTGAACAATCTTCACAAGTTCAGAGCCATGGTTAGGAGGGCTCTGGAGGGCCAGCAGTTAAAAGCTGGAATCACACTTGCGCTCTGGGGAATCTTGGGGAACAAATGAGACTATCAACTGGTTCTGATTCTTCAGCATCTGGGATGGACAGTTTGAATGGAATAATGATGCAGCCACAGAGAATTGCTGAAGCACAAAGGGAATGCAAATGCAGGATATGTTTGGGGGAGGGGTCAGTGCATGAGGTATTCAGCTTCTTTTAATCAGCATTTGGCTTCAATTCCAAATAGCATTTTGCTTCCATACTAATCTCCTGATGGTGGTGCCTAAACATATTTTATGTGAGATTCAGTGAAGTTAACTGTGTGTTCTGGTGGCTTTGATTTTAACCTCTTTCTTCTCTCAAAGATCTGTGAGACATTCTTGGCAAAGGCTATCTGGCTAGTCTACTATGAGCAGCACTAATGGCTCTCAAGTTCTCTATTGCAAATGGACTATAATCCTAAAGATGGTGATGTCACGAAAATCTTTCTCTCGACTTCCTAGTTCTTTGGACTAAGTCCATAGTACAATCCCTTCCTCCAGTTCTCAGTTGCTATTTCAGACTAACACACACAAGAAGTTTAACTTCCTCCATTAGCTTTGTACATACAGACGAATGTGAGCAAGAAAATTGAGTAAAAATGGAAATATTACTTCCAAGAACCAGTCAAAAAAAGGTCTTAAGAGCATGTTCTCTGCTTACAGAAGTGTGATTAGCATGGGGTGACTCCAGCACTGAGTTTTATGGCACCTTAAGCTGAAGGCGATTATCAATGATAAGGTAAAGAAGGCCAACTTAATAGGCCAAAGTCAGAGGAAACTCCCCGTGAGCTCAGAGTTTCCCTTGAGAAAGGGAGGTAAGGTTTGGCTCATAAACTATGCATGTAGATTTAACAAAAAAGGGATTTGTCTTTTCATGTTGGAGGAAAAATAAATTTGTTCTCTTATGAAGAAACTGTACATATGGACTTTGTTCATTATTGGGGGTTCCATAGCATTTATCTATGTTCACCAGCATATTTATTTCCCCTAACATCTAATGTTCCTTTGACCTTTAATACACTATCAACATTAAGCAAACAAACTGATAAAATAACATGGTTATCAAAACTTATGAGTTTGTATTGTTAAAATACCTTCTTTTGCAGTCTCACTCATTTCCTGTCAGAAAAGTTTGGCACTCAACCTCCAGTATGTAAACAACCCCAGGAGCTGGCCCAAGCCAGACATTTTGCACAGCTAACTGCAGAAGATGCTTTAGGACGAAGAATATATAATTGTCCCTAAAGGACCTAATCTCTTTTGGGGAGTCTACAACCTTCTGCCTGGCTTTTTAAACATCTCACTCCATCTTTTTGGGGAAACAGCCAAGTAAAAGCAATGAGAAAGCTTACTATTTTGTATTAAACTTCTAATGAAATTTTCAGTTGACACTGAAGACAGGCTCCTGATATATGTGTGAATGTTCCTGATGCAAATGAGATGCACAGGAATTGTCCCTCTTTTGCAGGTAGAGAAAGGAGATTATAGTTGCAGCTCCCTGGGAGACATGCATTAGCTCAGGTAGTAAGGAAAGGTTTATGCAGAGCACTGTCATCTCCAAATTAATATTGGCTGTTAGCAGAGCATTGCATCTCTGTTGTTTGGGGATTTGAGGTAGGTCTGGCAGGAAAACTTGCAAACCACTGCTCCACAGAACAGCATATCACCCTGTGGACATGCCCATGCTATGTCTGAGCCTAAAAAAAACCCCAAAAACCCCAAACAAACAAACAAAAAAACTAAAGAATTTTGCTCAAATAGCTTTTTTTTTTTTTTCTTGAACCTTCACCACAGTATAATATTTTTTCCTCCATATAAACTTTTATCTTATATTGCCTTTTTGGGACTCTTATCCACCTACTTGTTCTTTGCATGAAATAATTCTGCTTTTGACTTCTATGTTGCACCTTGGACCTACAGGTTTAAAATATCCCCCTTTCCCTTGTTTTCTGGGTTGTTTTTTGAGTGTTGTGAGTTTAATGCTGATACTGCATTAGTGATCAATCAAACATTTGCCAAGAGCACACACAAAATAAAGAAATAAATAAAGCCTCTGGTATATTTTGATGTGCCTTTGAAAGGAGGAAAATTCCTTTCACATGGCCTCTTGTCCCTAGAAATCTACAAGTTTCTTTGTCTTGGCAAAAGGCCAAGCAGCACCGTGATGTACCATTTTTCTTGGCCAGTGTTTTTAGGTCTTTTGAAACCAGACCAAGTGTTCACATGGTATTTCTTCATTTAACAGCTGAAAGACAGTGACTGCAGCTGCATGTGCCATGAAGCACAGCTTCATCTACAGTAAAGGATGCTATGTTTTTGTTTTTCTGAGGTAGCTAACTAAATGAATTCAAACTCAGGGCTGACACAAATAGTGCTGCAGCTTCCTATGAAACCATTTTACTCTACCTATAAACCTTAGTACTTCAGAAAACAGAGCCAGAGAGGGGCCTTTGCAGGGTATGTATATGCATGCTAATTTTCTACATGCATAGGACCAAATTAGCATCTCCCTAGGTGAATGCCATGCAAGTGGACTGAAGCCGAACATCTGTAGCCCACCTGGCAGCAATCTTTGCAAGCCCACACTGCTCGGTGCCTCCCCTCAACCCAATCCAAATCCCTTGAGGTTACAGACTTGGCAGCCTGTTTAAATTGACCCTGTTTGGAGTGGTCCCTTACATCATTTCATTTCATAAGCTGTTAACTAAGCTATTTGTGAGATTGGCCCAAGTTGCTTGCTGACAAATTGCAATGATGCCTGTAAAAAGGGGGGAAAAAGGGAAAGGGAAAAAAAAGTCAAAACATGGTTCATGTGTAAAGCAAAGTCAGCCAGGAAATATTTATGTCAGGTCCTGAATGATCAGATGTTCTGGAAGTGGAAAGGAGGAACAAATGTTTTCCTGTCTGCTTGTTAGGGGTTTTTGTGGTGTTCCAGTGAAGAGTGCTGAGGTTTTTGTGGGGTTAAGATGTCTGAATCTAAGGCTAGCAGGATGGAAAGATTCTGCCCATGCTTAGAAAGAGGCATGCATCTGTGCACTAAAACATGCTGTTTTAAGACCTTAATAATACCATTATTAACTAGTCGTTGGTGGTTTGAACATGAACTTAGAGGGGAACAAACCCAGTTTAATAGTCAGAAGATGAATTGTACCTCATAACATCTGAGAAAGAATTCCCAAGGAATATAACAGTTTTGCTAAGACCAGAAGATTGGTCAGTTAGGTGAATGTGGTTCCCTGCTAGGTTTACTTAGATACAAGTATGTGTGTTAGTTTTTTATCCATTTGTTCAGGAATTGTGATGATCACATTGTGAAAACAAGATTCCTGTCCAAGAGGTCACCTAGCTATACACAGTAAGATAAATGAGAAAAACTGAGAAAAGACAGCATGATACAACAGCCATGGTTAGTAAAGTAATCACATTCTTCCCTTCCTCCAATTTATTTTTCCTTTTTGTTCTAGTAGATTGAGTGGCTTGAGGCTTGCAAGCAGTGAAAATGTGGCTCCCCTACTTGGGTTGAACTAGGGCAAAACAGCGTGTTATGGCTATGCAGGCAAGATGCTGTGGGACCTCCACCCTGCCATACAAGGCCAAGCCCTGGCAGTGATAAACTAGCCGGCTGAAAGTGCCAGTGAGGGGGAGTCACTGAGGAACTAAGCAGAGCAGTCACTGCAGACCACCCTGTCCTCGTCTGTGATGAGGGATCCCTGGGGAGCACTTAGTGTTTCCTGCCTCTGAAACTCTCCTGGAGGTCCCTTTCCTTTAAGGTCCCTGAGCTGTGTGTCTCATGGCTCTCAGCCACAGAAAGATTTGGGCACGTGGCTCATAGGGTCAAGAGGAATGGCCACCCTTGTAGAAAAAATGAAACTCATCTGTGTTTACTGAATTCTTTTGGCATGTTGTTTTTACTGAGAAGATGACTTCTCACCCTGTCTGTTCTCCCAGAACGGGACACAGCACGCTTGCTTAGGTCCTCCTGCAAACACTCAGTATCGCACTCTGTTGATTGTTTTTCCAACCTTGTTTTATGCTATGATACCATTTTAATGTTTAAAAGCAATGGATTGACAAAATGAAAGGAAAATTATTGTATTTTCTACCAAGGATTTACTCACAAAATCCATCCAAAGTTTTGTTAACATGT